AAGGGGCGCCCCCGCCATATCGAGGACTCCTCTTGCCCTCACCTCCCCTCTCATGCTCTTCCGGCGTTTACGTGGTGCTGAGTGCGAGGAAGAAGATGGGGGGAAGGGTTTTATTGGGGATTCACACGTGCGGGGCTTTTTACATCCGGTAAGAGTGATATGAGTCCTTAGGCTTGTAGGTTAGGTTTTACATAGGTCGCCGGGGCCGTGCCTCACATGTGGCTTTTATGCTCGGGTAGTTTAGGGCATTATATAAAATATGCGGAACATTATATGTCAGAATGCCTTTACATAGCTTTTATTAAAATAATTTTTTTTAAAAATTAAAATCGCCCGATATATTTGGTCCCACGCCACAGTGTTGCCAACTGGTCATTTTGGGAAATAACGACCCCCGAAATCCAACGGACAAAACCCCTTCACCTTCACCTTGCTCGATCTCGATCGTTGGAATTCGTCGTCGGTGGATCCCGCCGCCCTAGGAGTCAACGGCTAGGATTTGCCAGTCAAACTAACGCATGTATAGTGGGGCCCAGCTAGCCTGGCTTCGATATTCCGCCATCTCTTGCGGCCACCGCCGGCGAGGGGGAGTTCACACGAGGGGAGAAGCACGTGCGGGAAAGGGTTGGGTGCACACTAGCGCGGGTGGCCGTCGGTTAGCGCGGGGGCGCGTGCGTCGCAGAGCTGCCGGGGGGAGGGTGGGCCCCGGTCTCACCTGTCTCCGGTCAATCGGGCAGAATTGCAGAGTGGGGAATGCGTTGCTTGGCGTGCAGAGGGCGGGGTCTGCCCGCACGTGTCACGCAATTGTCTCTCATTTGACCGCATATGGGTCTTTGACACTGTACGGCACTATCGGCCTAAGAAATTACGGGAGAGCCACTGGACACTTGGCGAGCGGGGATTGGGTAGTTGGGATGTTTAATTACTCGCGGGGATATAAAGAAATGTAATTTAGGAGTATCTACGGATAAGGGAGGAAATTTCCAGAGGGGAGGGGGACATGTGCCCTATTATTCGGCGTGCAAATTTTAAAGGGGGATGGGTGTTCTGACCAAGATCTCCTCGATGAAGAAACTGCTGCCGGTACGTTAGATGAATTTAGCAAACATTATGGGCTCAGATGAAAAGTATGGATACTTTTAGGGACACTAATGCAAATTACATAAATGCATGGGGTCTAATGTTAAGGATGGAGCTCGGTTAAGTCCGTCCGATCCCGTCTTCCCGGCGCCTGCACAATCGCGAAACCTCCCCGGCATCCGCCTGCTCCCACGAGCGTGAAGCGAAGCTTCGCTTCGACCGATCGCAAATAGTCGTGATTCCCTATTGTTTCGCGAAATGTCGTCTCTACGCTTCCTGTTCGGGTAAAAAGGCATTGCGAGGTGGCTCTCCTTCAATTTTGAAGTCACGATTTTTTGTATTCTTCTTCGGACTTACTCGGGATAAAGGAAGAGAAGTGCAATCAGTAATTTATTGCGGCAGAAGGAAGAAGAAAGAAGGAAGAAGAAAGAAGAAGAATGTTCTCCCTTGACTTCTTCTTGGTGGCTTGAGACACAAGAGAAATTGTGTTTATTTCTTTAAGTTTATCTTCTTCGGTGTATCTTGATGTAGAGAGAGAAGAACAGAGCAACAAAGTGAGAGATTCTTCTTGTAAGTCGAGACGATCGACTGGTGTAAATTCCTCAAATAGTAAAATCCTCTGCAACTCCTTGGATGTAGGCAATTTGCCGAACCACGTAAATCTGTGTGTTCCGCTTTGTTACTGTTTTATGGTGTGAATTTTCTCATTCTATTTTTTGCTTCGTCAAAAATCGTTCTCCTATTTTATTTCTATATACATACCACAACAACTGGTATATCTCACAACATCTATTACAAATTACATAAATCACTATATCTTTCATGTTAGTAAGAGTGGGTCCACCGAAATACATCTTTGCTGTGATGAATGATGAAGATCGCACACTGTATGCACCGTATAAAATAATTTTTCGTTAGTAAGAGTGGGCTAGGCGGAAACTCCAATCTAGATACACTAATGGCAAAACTCTTTTTTAAATAAAAAGTTTAAGCTTATAAAATAAGTTTAACCATCTAATATTTTTACTTATATTTGTCATGTGGTTAATGTACTCTCACAAGCCATAATATCACCACCTTTTAAGTTTGCTGTTAACATAATTCTTGGGTCAACAATCATCACTAAATTCAGAAGAGCCGTCATTTGGATACCACACAAAAAGCTTCTTATTAGCTCGCTATTCCAATTTTCATGTGCAAATGTTAGTATATGTGAGAATGGTTGGAAGTGTAATTTTTGTGCCAGCCTGCCAAAATTGATGGTTGTATGTTTTGTTGATCCATATCGATAACCACCTATTTCTCTATGTTAAGAAGTTTTTTTTCTTTCTAAATTGTTACTGATTGAAAGATTCGTTCGGAGATGATCATCAATACTAATGTCAGCCTAAGAAAACATTGATTATATCACCATTTACTTCTATTATGCCTAAAAAAAATGTGTAGCCACAAGTATATGTATCATCCACATCAACATTTCCATCCTCACCATCATAATAACAAGTTAAACTATTGTCTTATTTATATACAATATTTTACAAATTAATTTTTGTTGTTAAGCATGGTGTAAGATTATTCTTCTAGTAATTTTCATATAATAAATCTCTATTATTTAACATTGCATTATTGTTAAGATAATCGTCAATCGCCTGTACTTTTCATTGTTTAAGAACATTACATTAATAACATAATTAGCCTAATTTATGCTAATGTAACTTATTTAACAATTTTATTGAATTTTTTCTTCAAACAAGGTATAACTATTTTATAATATGTTTTTTTGTAAATAGTGAGAATTTTTGTATCCTAAATTCTAATTCTAATTGGAATTGATTTTATAAGCATAGAATAATTCAAATTTATCATTAAGTAATTCTAGGATCCTACTAGAAGAAAAAAAGGTGGCCCTGGTGCACCGGAGTCTGAAATTTTGGGTTATGGTCAAAATGTAACTCTAGTTTTTCTATAAGAGAAATCTTTAATGAAACTAGTGGTAAAATCTATTTTGGAGATGGTAGTTCCCAAATCAAGGAAATTGAGGTCAAAGTGTAGATCCCGCCCCACGAGAATTGAGATTTTTTTACGAAAAAATAAAATGAGCTTCAAATTGATCAATTTTGATGTTTTTAGCCTAATTTAATTATATTTTAAGTTTTGAGTTGATTTGAATTCATTTCAACAAAAAATTGTAAATATTATTTAGATTATCTTAATTATCATCCAAATTATATTTGGCTAAATTAGCCTCTAAACGGGTCCAATTTGGGTATAGAGGGACTCATTTGAAAGGTTTTGACGCTCTGATGAAAAAAAATTATGTGGGACAAATTTTAGTGCATTAAAGCTCAACACATAAAGTTTCACATAATAAGTTTTTTGATGATCATCAAAATTTATTTCATGCTATTCACATATAAATAATGAACCAAATGTAGCTCATAACTTGAAATTTCAAGCGCCACCATGATCTGGAAAGAAAACGATAATTTCAGGATATAAAAATGGTAATTTTAGAATATTCCCTCATCAGGCCACATTTCAGTCCAATGTTATGATTTGATTGAAGTTAATTAAAATTGATTTTTATTATACGTGTTTTATTTCAAGTTTGTCTTAGATACTTGTAATGAATGAGAAGTTGACCAAAAGTGTGATCAACAACAGTCATCAAGATTTACCACAACATTCGATCACAAAACTACTGTCATCATCTTCTAAAACATCTTTTGCGCCTACTTCTTCAAACAAGCAAGATCGTCAAACATATCGTATCACAGTCATGATCTCTGTTCTTCAAATACTGAAGTTGCATGTTCGATCAATGTCCGTAACTTCAAATCTTACCATGAATATTTCATTGTCAAGCCTAACCTCATCATTATTCCTATTCAATAACAATGTTTGCGTCTTCAGCTTCAGTCTCCAAGAACCTTGCACCCACCCTACTTTAATCGAGTGTTGTCATTATTTGAATAGTTTTTATAGCTCAATTTCACATATATTATCACTTTCTATATTGTTGCCATCACTTGCTTGACCTTGAGGGAAATGTCATTTTGAAAAAGTAAGTAATGATAGGATATTAAAAATGATTTGTTCCTGTATTTGATTAATATGAATAGTTAATTAGTATTAGTGAGATTCTTGTAATTTTATAAATTTGCTTAATTTGAAGACATATGTTCTGTAGAAATAATGAAGTAAGCTTCTAACCTTTTTTGTGTTTTCTTCTCCTCCTCTTAATTTTTGGAGTTGCCAACATCATAAAATTCATGTTTTGCTTTCTCAATCTGAGTTTCTTTTCTATATTTTGTCCCCATCCAATTTCAAAAGTTTAATCATATTCTAAAAAACAAATTTATAATATCATATAGTATCGTTCATCAAGAGCCACTTAATCACATGAATTCATTATAGAAGTCAACAAGTTTTGAACTTTGCTCAATATGGTTAAAAGCACTCAGATCTAATGGAAGTTACATAAATCATTATACCTTAGTCAAGCCCACAGCTTTAGAGTCACTTGCTGGTAAATGTGGGCTAGACGGAAACACAAATCCAAATATACTAATGGCTAAACTCATTCTTAATTTAAAAGTTTAAGCTTATAAAATAAGTTTAACCATGTAATATTTTTACTTATATTTTTCTTGTGGTCAATGTACTCTTACATGCCATAATATCTTCACCTTTAAGCTTGTTGTTATCATAATCCTTTGGTCAACAATCATCACTAAAATCAAAAGAACCATCATTTGGATACCACAAAAAAGCTTCTTATTAGCTTGCTACCATTGGAATCCAATTATCATATACAAATGTTGACATTGTGAGAATGGTCAAAAGAGTTGTTTTTCAAAACCTAACTGCCAAAATTGATGGTTATATATGTTGTTGATCCGTTATCGATAAGCACCTATTTCTCCATATTAAGACCTTTTTTCCTAAGATGTTTCAAATTGAAAGATCTATTTGGTGATGATCATCAATACTAATGTCATCCTAAGACAATATTGTTTATATAATCACTTACCTCAATTATGCCTAAAATCAATGTGCAGCGCAAGTGTATAATCACTTACATCATCATTTCCATTCTCACCACCTTAACCACAA